ACCATCACCACCTCCACCACCTCCACCACCAGAGCGTCAGGAGTGACATCGCCATTGCGTAGTCTCTCTCCGTTGTTGTGACCCTTCACCACCTGGAACTCCATCATTCCCCCCCCACCATTCCCACCCCCACCATCCCCCCCACCATCCTCCTCCCCACCCCCTTCCACATTCGCTGCGAATGACTCTTTGCCTCGGGGGGCAAGGGGAAATTGCGCGCGTTACAAGCGAGAACGATTATGATCATCATCAACATCGCCGCCATCGTCATCATCATCAGCTACGATAAATCCGCCGCTGGATGGAGGCCTCCTCCCCCCACGCCGTCTCCATCCCTCCGGTTCCAAAGTCGCCACCCAATCTCCCCCGGGGTCACGAGCGGATCTCGTCGTTCCGTCTCCGCGGGGTCAAAGTCCTGACCTCAACTGCCCCCCCCCCCCCCGACGTAGCCGCGAGAGCTTCTAGACCACGGGTCGGTTGGATGGGCAGGCGCGGTAATGTCGGGTGGTGGAGGGTTACTACGAACGACGCCGATTTGGTCAGATCTCCGCACGGTGGCCCGACCCGGCAAAAAAAAAAAACGCGAGACTTTGGTACCGGCTGCCAAGAGCAACCGCGCATCCAACTCGACGAACCACGCGACGCCATCCGTGGGTGAACGTTGCGGTGGGGGGGGGGGTCACGGGGGGCACGGGGGGCGGGACTGCGGCTGTTGGCAGTGAAGCGTTCGGTCGCGTGAAGGTGAGAACGGGAGAGAAAGAGAAGCCGCCGTCGACTTTGCATTTTTCAATCTGAATAATGCACGGCCATATAAAGAGCCGCAACCGTGGGCTCACCTCGTGCGCCTTCCTGTGTGTGTGTACGCGTGAGCGTGCGCACGTGTGTGTGCGCGTGCGTGAGCGCGAACGCGGGAGAGCTTATAGATTTACGGCGTGCGATCCTAACACACGGCCGCCGATCCGGGATTAATACGGTCGTCAGCGCCCCCCAGCTCCCCCAGGCCACCGACTGCTGTTGACCGCACGACGTTAGGGGGGTCCTAACAAGCGCCCGCGCCAAAACTCAAGGAAGCTCCCCGTCGCACTGACGACGACGACACCCACGGCGGCCCCCCCACTCTCCAGCCCCCCCCCCCCCCAGCCTTCTGCCCTCCCCCCCACCAATGCCAACGCTTAAATCCAGAGGTTTACCCCGCACACGGGATTATGACTCCCGTGATCATGCTAAGAAGGCACCGTGGCCTGGATATGGGACAGCGGTCCAGAGGTCACTGCACGTGCATGCGTGCGTGTATGTGTGCGATAGTGCGAGTGTGTGTGTGTGCGAGCGTGTGTGCAAGCGTGTGTGTGTGTGCAAGCATGTGTGCGAGCATGTGCGTGTGTGTGCGAGCGTGTGTGGTGTGTGTGAGCGAATGTGTGTGTGTGCGAGCATGTGCGTGTGTGTGTGTGCGAGCATGTGTGTGTGTGTGCGAGCGTGTGCGTGTGCTGCGCTACCATGGGGAGTGGTGGTGAAGTGGTTAGCGCTACGCTGCACTACGAACCTGGTGCCCCCAAGTTCGATTCCGGCTCACAGCTAACGCTAGTGACGATTATCTGAACCGGTCCTGGGCCTCCCCTAGGTCGATTCAGCCTCAAATGAGTACCTGGTACGGTGTGTAGTAAACATCGCCACTCGGGAGACAAAGGTGGCCAGGCGTGGTGCTGGTCACCCACTCCCTCGTGTGCCATTCTGGCCTTCATTGGTGCTCGCTAACAGCACTTTCCCAACAGTCTGTTAAGGCTATACGGGGGATCTTTGTCCTTGTTTTTTGGTGGAGGTGGTGGAGGTGATGTTGGTGGTGGAGGTGTGGATGTGGTGGTGATGGTAGGGGTAGTGGTGGTGGTGATGGTGGTGGTGATTGTGGTGTAGGTGGTGATTGTGGTGATGGTGATGATGGTGGTGGTGGTGATTGTGGTGTAGGTGGTGATTGTGGTGATGGTGATGATGGTGGTGGAGGTGATGGTGGTGGTGATGGTGGTCATGATGGTGGAGGTGATGGTGGAGGTGATGGTGGTGGTGATGCTGGTGGTGGTGGAGGTGATGGTGGTGGAGGTGATGGTGGTGATGATGGTGGTGATGGTGGTGGAGGTGATGGAGGGTGTGGACGAGCGAGCCATGGTGGACAGAACGAGAGCTGCACCTCGCAGCTCAAAAAAAAAAAACTGTGCGACCAGCGTCCACTTAATCACGGCCCAACAGGGCTCTTCGTGATGAATTAAAAAAGAAGAAGAAAAATAAAAAAAAAAGAATTAACAGACAGCGGTCATTAGTAGCTGACGGTGATTACGGGGAAAATTGTATTTTGATTTATTAAAAAAAGCACCGCCGCGCACGGTTTGTGGACGTAGAATGATGGCTAATGACACAACCTCTGCATTTCCCCCGACATCTAAAGCCATTTCAACCTCCTGACCTTCCCCAGCCCGAATATACGGGGGGGGGGGGGAAGGAGGGCAAAGAAATCTATAATGCCGCGGCATATTACTCAAGGTAAGGGATCAGTGACCCGTAATTTGAAATGTCTAAATCAATCATCATGCGGCCGTCCACCGTACTGCGAACACGACGGCATTGCTAACATCTGTCTTGAGAATATAAAAAAAAACTGGAAATAAATATAAGACGCACGTTTACAGTATATCAAAAAAAATCTTTCGTTTCCCCCGTGCCTGCCCTGCCCCCTCCCCTCTACTGCAACGTTCACCCCGCGGACGGTGTCGCGGATCTGCGGATAAAGCGCCAGGGGCAACAGAAACGCGACGGCTTCCGTGGGTCGCTCTTGTGACCGACGGCGGCGGCGTGCGGCGGGGGTCTGGGATGATAATTCTCGTGGGGGGCGACCGGCGGGGCGACTGGCGGTTGTGACCAATTCATGACGGGCCAATGAGAAGCGACGTTCACAACGACGGTGGCGACGACGGCGTGCCACTCTCAACAATAACAACAATAACAGCGGCAATAATTTAGGTGCCCTTAATACGTCGGCCGCGCGACGGGGTGGGGCCTCCATGCCTCCCACCCGATCGTCCGTTGCCGAAATCGCTCGCCGCTGCCCGGGCAGAACCGCGGGTTCGCTCGACGTGAAGGACGCCGGCGCTATTTCTGGCGGCGGCGGCTGCGGCGCAGCCGACACGACGGAGCCACCGGCACAATGAGGCAGACGCACAGACAGAAAACTCCCCCGGCGCCCCTCGCTTGTGCCGCGATTGAAAATCCCGGCGCGGGGGAGGGAGGGGAACTAAGTCTGAGTAAGAAGGAGAGCGCGGAAATCCGAGCCGGTAATTGGGAGGGTTTTTTTGTTGTTTGTTTCACTTCAAAAGTAACAAAAATATAAATACTATAATCGGTTTCATTCATTTGTAATATATCAACTGCAGGATCGAGGGTAGGCCTTCCCACGTGCCGTGCCACGGGTGTTTTTTCGCTTGACCATACTTCACCGCGCTCCGCGAGCTCGGCTGCGGTGTCGGTCGGGTCCGGAGGCGCGGGACCGCAGAGCTTCGGCAATTGTTGGGTAGCGCCGACTCCGGACCGCTGTGCGGCTGCCGCCACTGCCGCCGCTGCTGTTTTCCCCGCTCCTCCGAGTCGTTCTCTCGAGAACAAATGAGTACCGTGCGATGGGCGTCGCAGCCTGATTGGTCGAATTTATTATTCTTCACTTGTTCATTACCGGTATCACTGGCCGCGTTGGTGGGAATCGAACTCGGGTCGGCGTGACCGAGGTGAAAAAAGAAACGTCGCCACGCCACCGCTCCACCGACGGGAGGCTGCCGTGAGGGGGAACTAACGGCAACACCGGCGAGGCGGCCAAAACAAAATACATACGGGAGGGGGGGGGGGGGTGGCGTCATCACGCGGCTGCTCGTCACGCGGTTCTGCATTTGTCGCTAGATTGATGATTCCCCCGGCTAGGGGGAGCTGACTATTTTCAAGGCGAGCCGCAGCGGCCCCCCGAAGTGGGCAGGGCGTGCGTAGCCGCGTCGTCCACGGCCGCGCTGCTCACGTCCACGCACCCTCGCCGCACCAGGCACGCTTTCTTTCAGGCCGTGCCAGCGCGGATGTCATTCGTCCCCAGGACCGGCTCGGATATCCGTCGCCGCCACTGTTCTGGGCCACGATTGGGAACCGAGAACTCGGGTCGCCGGGTTCGCGGTGCGGCGCGCCGACCCGCCGGCGCCGACCCGCCGGCGCCACGGCGCACCCACCCACCCACACCGCCGTCCCCTCACCTTGTAGATGAGCACGCTGGCCTGGTGCTCCCGGCCCGCCACGTGCAGCCCCATCCTGTCCAGGCCGCTCGCCACGAAGTCGCAGGCGCAGCACCGCAGCTGCACCAGCGCCGGCGCGACGCCGGCCGCCCCCGATCCGGACGACGCCGACGCCGCCGCGGCCGCCGCCGCCGCGGCCGCCGCGGCCACGGCGTCGGCCCGCCCGCCCTCGCGCAGGTGGGCCGCGAGCTGGTGCCGCGCGGCGTGCTTGTCCGTCTTGCAGTGCAGCTGGAAGTTGGCGCGCAGCGGCGTGACGTAGCCGCAGAGGCGGCACGCGTGGGCGCCCTCGCCCGTCACCGCGCGCCACTCGCCGTCCGGCAGCCGGCGCTCCGAGCCGGCGTGCGCCGCCAGCTCGTCCGGGTCGTCCGTGGAGAAGGCGTCGCACACGCGGCACAGGAACAGCTTGGGCGACGGCGCACGCTCGCCGCGGCCCGGTCGATCTCGGTCGCCGTGGCTCGCCATCGCCGACGACGACGTCGGGTTGTGTTTTGGCACGGACGGCGCCGGGCCGGTGGCGGCGCCGTCGAGGGGTGGCTGGGCGGCGGCGCGCTGCCTCTCCGCGTCTGAGAAATGGAGTGCGGAGAAAGTGCGGCCGGAGAAATGTTACGGCGAATGCAATAAGACGGTCCTGATAAAGATGACGGTGATAACGATGGTGGCGACGATGATGAGGATGATGACGACGACGATTTGTGGGCTCCGTACGATATTTGTGTTCACGCGCACTCATTCGCTCGCCAACTCTCAGACGGGACAAGCGAATGTCTAAATCGCTTAGATCACCGGGGCCAAAGTTGAATCTCTGATAAGTTACTCTTCATCGCCGCGTACGGAATCATCACGCGGAGATGTTGATGTTATGTGCAGTTTATGCAAATCGCATGCAAATGACATGCTAATTGTCACATCGCGGCTCCACATTTTTTTATTCTGAGCAATTTGTAAAAAAAATTGCTCTGACGTTGGCAAATATAAAATACAAACGCCCGCAAAGTCTTCAATATACGGCGTAACAAACAAAAAAGATGCTCACGGGAATAAATTAATAAATTTGCGGCCTAAACACCGGGTGCGTTTTGGTTGTTACGCAAGACCGGGTGTTGGGTGCCCTACATGTGACCTACAACATTAGCGAAAACTCTCATTAAGGGAAATCAAATTATCTAATGGAGCCGGCCACGGAGCGGATTTAAAAAGGAGATTCCGGCTCCGTAATTGGCGTAAACGCATTTCCTCATTTCGACAAAAAGGAGAGGGGGGCGAGGCCGAGGTGCTGCCGCTGCCACCGCGTACGGTTTAGGACGGGGGCAGGCGGTGACGGCCGAACGGGCGCGACGGCGATGCCGTTGGCCAAAACGCTCCGTCGCCAAAACGCGGCCCCAACTTTGTCAATGGGGGGGGGGGGGAGGGGGGGAGGACCCACGATCGGTTCACGCGGTGCATCGCTCGCCAACCCATGTTCGCCGCGGTGCTCAGCGTGCCGACCGCTGCACCGCCGCTCTAACCCCAGTGACACGGACGCAAGGCGCATACACGCCCCGCGCCCCCCCACGTACCCCCCCCCACGTGCAACCCCCCCCTCGTGCCCCCCCCCCCCCCACGTGCCCCCCCCCCACGTGCCCCTCGCCCCCAAAGCACCATATCCACGTTACAATGTGATTTTTAATTTCCTGCAACGTAAACATACAGCGGTAGACTTTCTGGATATTTTTTCCTCCCTCCACTCTTTCCCCCCTCCACTCTTTCCCCCCTCTCTCTCTACACACACACACTGCATGTGTATTCTTTCTTATGGGTTCGTTAAGGTTCTTTGAACGCGTGCCATCTGTAACGTGTCCCGGAATAAGATTGGCGCGTTGTTTGCGGTTAACCGAAGCTATTTCTGATCCAGCCATGCCCGCCATAAACACAAACACTTGAACTTGAATACAGCATCGTGGCCTTGTGAGCAATTTAGCCACGTGCGTGTGTGTAGTTACGTGTGTGTAGCTACGTGTGTGTGTGTAACTACGTGTGTGTGTGTGTGTGTAGCTACGTGTGTGTGTGTAGCTACGTGTGTGTGTGTAGCTACGTGTGTGTGTAGCTACAAGTGTGTGTGTAGCTACGTGTGTGTGTGGAGCTACGTGTGTGTGGAGCTACGTGTGTGTGTGTGGGGAGCGGTAGTGTAGCGGTTAGCGCACTGCGCTATGAACCCGGCGACCAGAGTTCGATTCCCGCTCAAGGTCAACACCAGTAACAATTATATTAACCTGTCCTGGGCCTCCCCTAGGTCGACTCAGCCTCAAATGAGTACCTTGTGCGGTGTGTAAACATCGCCACTAGGGAAACAAAGGCGGCCGGGCGTGGTGCTGGCCACCCACCCCCTCGTGTACCGTTCCGGCCTTCATAGGTGCTCGCTAACAGCACTTGCCCCTCCAGTATGTTAAGGCTACACGGGGGCTCTGTCTTTGTACGCGTGCGTGTGTGCACGCGCATACCTGAGCATGTGTGTGCGTGTACGTTGGGTGGCATTTTAATTTCAGCCAGGCAATTTTCCTCAGTTTGATTCATAATTCCGCGTTCAATATATTAATTTATTTAAGTCGTAGCCCCCTCCCCTTCCCCCACCCACCCCACCCTTCTTTTATTCCCCGCCGAGGAATTGCCCCCCCCCCCCCCCCGCGAGGGCATCGGTGCGTCGTCCTCAACGTTCCAACCGCGGATCCCTCCGTGGAAACCAATTGTCGCGGCGGCGAATCGGTCGCAAGTGACATGCGGGAGGCAGATGAACGAAGCTACAATCGGAGGTGAGGAAAGGTGGGAGGGAGTGGGGAGTGGGGCAGGGAGGGGAAGGGAGGGGAGGGAGGGGGAGGGAAGGGGGAGAGGGAGGGAGGGGAGGGGAGGGGGAGAGGGAGGGAAGGAGGGGGAGAGGGAGGGAGGGGAGAGGGAGGGAGGGGAGGGGGAGAGGGAGGGAGTGGGGGAGCGAGGGGGGAGGGGAAGAGGGGGGGGGAAGGGAGAAGAGGGAGGGGAGGAGGGAGGGGAAGAGGGGGGGGGGAGGGAGCAGAAGAGGGGGGAGGGAGGGAGTGGGGGAGCGAGGGGGGAGGGAGAGGAAGAGGGGGGGAGGGAGAGGAGGAAGGGAGAGGAGGGAGGGGAGGAGGGAGGGAGGGGAGGAGGGAGGGAGTGGGGGAGCGAGGGAAGAGAAGAGGGGGGGAGGGAGAGGAGGAAGGGAGAGGAGGGAGGGGAGGAGGGAGGGAGGGGAGGAGGGAGGGAGGGGGGAGGGAGGGAGGGGGGAGGGAGGGAGTGGGGGAGCGAGGGAAGAGAAGAGGGAGGGAGGGAGAGGAGGAAGGGAGGGGGGAGGGAGGGGGGAGGGAGGGGAGGGAGGGAGGGGGGGAGGGAGGGAGGGGGAAGTGCGATGGGCACGGCATAATCCGTCGGGTACCAACGAGCCGATCTGGAACCGATTGCCCCTCCCCCCTCCTCCGCGGACAGACGTCGCGAGCCCCAAGGGCGACCAATATCCACCGCGGGCGAACGCAACCGGATCGGCGGGGGGGGGGAGGCGAGACAGAATCGGGAGCTAAACGTGACAAGAGAGGAGGTAAACATTCCACGAAGATCGATTCGTGACCTCGAATCGTCACCTAGAATCGTGATGATGCATTCACTCGTGGTTGGGGGCAGGCTGGCGGGGGGGGGGGGGTTGGTGAGGGATGATTTCGATGTCAGGGTACCACCAATCAAAATTAACATCGGGCTTACAATGGGCCCTGACGTTCCCTAAACCTTGCACTCCCCTTCACCACTACACACTGGCACCGTTTTATTTCAAACAAATGTGCGCGTGTGTGTGTTCGTGTGTATATGTATATAACATTTGGACGATTTCATTTTGACCCAAAAAAGTTAAATAGTAATCGCGGTCCAGATGTGTTTAAATTTGGCGGTGCCAGTCGTCTTCAAGCATCGGATCACGCCGGGGTTTACTCGGAGCAAAATCGTCTCCGTCTCGTGCCGTGCGCTAACAAACACGTGCTGGCCAGCGGGGTGGGTAGGGGGGGGTATTTATCAACTTACTACATTTATACTTCAACGCAGCTGCTGCCGCTTGCGCTGTAGGAGGGAGAGGTAACGCTGGCCCATGCCAACAGCGTGTTGCCCAACGGGGCAGGGCTTTGTAAGGAGAGGCCCTCTCTCTTCCTTCAAAGCCTCTAACACCACGCCCCCCCCCACCTCAACGACGGACTAGTTTCTTGGGGCGCGCGGTTGGGCGGCTCAGCGACGTGGCTGAGTGGTGTAGCGTCTCCTGCCCGGCAGGTAGTGCCAACCTCGACCGGGGTCTGTCCCGAGACCTCCTCTCCTGTCGGCGAGCCTTCGGCACTTCGCGCGGTAGCCTCAACGCGACACCTGGCCTGGCACGGGCGCCGTGGTGACGGCGGGTGTCGGTATCGGTGGTGGCGCGTCGCATCTCGCCAAACGTTATCGAGAGTGCCCCACGATTGACGGGGGCCACGCGTCTCTCGCAAGGCGTCGACTTCTGACCCTATCTGAATCCGGCTTCGGTGGAGAAGGGGTTGGGGCCCAGCAGGGCCAGCGACACGCTGACAGAAACGGCTCCTGCCCCCGGCCGGCTCGGCCGGCCCGGCACAGTCTCGGCGCCGCTCCGGCGTCCCGCGCGCCAGTGGGAGGAAGGAAAGAGAACGAGGGGGAGAAAAGACAAGAAGCGGCAAAGACTCACCGAGGGCACCGGGCGGCGCGAGCGCCGGCGGCTGCTGCTCGAGCTGCAGGTGGTGCTGGTGGGCCCCGGCCAACCCCTCCAGCTTCATCCCCGCGGCCGCCGCCGCGGCCGCCTGCATCGCGGCCGCCAGGTAGTACTGGTAGATCTCCGCCTCTCCCGGCACGACGCCGGAAATCACGCCGGGCATCTCCAGGTGGTGCAGGTGCTGCTGTTGCTGTTGCTGCTGCTGCAGCTGCTGCTGCTGCTGCAGGTGGTGGTGCTGCTGCTGGTGGTGGTGATGGTGGTGGTGATGGTGGTGCGGCCCCACCCGCTGCTTGGCGCCGCCCTGCTGCTGCTGCTGCAGGAGCAGCATGTTGTGTGCGTGCTTCTCGCTCGTCATGTGGATGCGCAGGTTGCGCGCCACGTTCGTCTCGTAGTCGCATACGTCGCAGCGCCACATCGGCTTTTTCTGCTGCTGGTTCTGCTGTTGACTCTGTTGACTCTGCTGCTGCTGCTGCTGCTGCTGCTGCTGCTGCAGGTGCTGGGGCCGTGCTTTCTGCGGCGACGCCGCGGCCGCCGCCGCCACCGCCGCGGCCGCGGCCGCCGCGGCCGCCGCGACGCCGCTCACGCCGCCCAGGCTCGCGGGGAGGTGGTGCTGCCCGTACGCGGCGACGGCGTCCGCGATGGCGCCCGCCCCGCCTCCGCCGCCGCCGCCCCCGCCGCCCCCGTTCTGCAGGCACTGCACGTTGTTGAGGTGCTTGTCGGACTGCATGTGGATGCTCAGGTTGCCCTTGGTGGTGGTGGAGTAGTTGCAGACGTCGCAGCGGAAGGGCTTGTAGCCGCACGTGTAGCTCTCGCCGCGCGCCAGCCGCGGGTGCTGCTGCCCCGACGTGCAGAAGTCGCAGGCGCTGCCCGACTCGGGGTGCTTCTCCTTCATGTGGGCGTCCAGCGTCTGCTGGTACTTGTAGTGCCAGTTGCACTTGGGGCACTTGAGCGTCTTGCAGGAGTTGCGCGACTGCAGCAGCATGACGTGGCCGCCGAACGACAGCGCCGACGGGCTCACCGCCACCTCGCGCCGCGGCGAGCCGCCCTCGCTCGCCGGCGTGCCGCCGCCGCGGCCGTCCCTGGCCGACGCTCCGCCGGCGTTCGGATGCTGCTGCTGCTGCTGTCCTAGCGAGAGCCTCGGCAGCGCGAGGTCGCGCTTGGCGTCGCCCGCGTCGGCGTCCGACGGCCGCGCCGTTTCGGCGGCGGCCGATTCGACGGTCGCCGCGAACGCCGGCGCCGGGTCCCTGGCGCCGAGGGCCGCGTCGCCGTCGGGCAGCGTTTGGAAGGAGCTGCAGGGTGCCTCCGTTGGGGAGGGGTTGAGCAAATGAGGCAGAAAGGAAAGCTGAGAAATGCTTTGGTTTGTAAGACTGGAGAGTTCGTTTCTTCTGCAAGCGCCGTCGCCAACACCGACCTGAGAGCCTCCGAATCCGCCCACCTCCATCTCCTCCTCCATCTCCGCCGCCGCCGCCGTCGCCATCGTCATCATCTCCGCATCGTCGTCGTCGTCAAATTCATTGGTATAGAGTTCGTCGTCGGACCTCTCGTCCTCCAAGTCCGCGGGCTCGGACTTGATTCGCACGCCGTGGACGTCCAGGACGTCGCCGCTGCATTTGGCAAGCTGCCCCGCGCCGGCGCTGGTCCGGCCGGGGTACGTTGAGGTATTTGGGGATTTCAGCAAAGCACTGGGCAAACCCCCAAGGTTCAACGGGGCGCTCTGACCCCAAGCGTTCACGGGAGAAGCAGTCGACTGCAGCCCCTTAATCTTTGGCCCGGCCCGCAGCGCCTCGGCGCCGCCATCTACTCTAATGCCGCTAAAAACGCCGTAAAAATTTGGTTTCACGGAGGCGTCCGCGCTCGCGAGCCGCTGCCGCCGGCGCCCTTGCCGCCGGGCGCCGGGCGCGCCGCTCGGCTCCAGGAAGCTGACGAGCGGCTCCCTGCGGTCGCGGCCCACGCCCTGCACGATGGCGGAGGCGCCGCTCCGTCCCAGCAGCCTCCGCTCCTCGGCGAGCAGCGAGAGGCGGTGGTCGCGCGTGGCGTGCGCCGCGAACGTGCGGGCGCAGCCGAACGACAGCTTGCACAGGAAGCACATCAGGATGGGCTTCCTGCCCCCGAACAGCGCGCCGTCGCCGTCGCCGGCCCCGCCGGCCTCGCCGTCGTCGCCGTCGTCCGGACGCCCGTCGTCCGCGGGCCCCTCCGGGCTCTCGTCCTCGCTCTTCACGCCGTCCGGCGCCGCCGCGCCGCCGCCGCAACCGCCCCCTTCGCCCCGGACGTCGAAGACCCGAAAGCTTCGTAGCGCGGCTCCGGCGGCGGCCGCGAGCGAGGAGTTGGGGAACGCCTGGATGTGGAAGGTGCTGATCGCCCCGGGTTTGACGCCGAAGGACAAAGCGTGCGCCAGCGTGGGGCTACGGCCGCCGCCGCCGCCGTGCCCATCGTCGGCGAACGCGGACAAGCTCTCGGCGCTCTTGACGATGTAAGCGGAGCCGTCGGCCCGGTACACGATCTCGCCCGGGATGCTCTCCACGTCGGCGACTTCACCGGCGGCGGCGGGCGGCGGCGATGATGGCGGCGGCAGTGGCGTGCGGCGGCGGCGCCGGCGCCGCGCCCTCCGCGGCGGTGGCGCAGCGGTGCTCCATGTAAGTCTGTAAACTCTCGAGCGGCGACGCGCATTGGTTGCAGCAAATATCTTTGGCAGAGGAGGCGGCGGAAGCCGGACGCGGCGGGACAACGGCGGCGGAGGATGAGGAGGAGGCGGCCGCGGTGGGAGAGGAAGCGGAGGGAGGCCAGGCCGGGGAGGGGACGGCGAGGGAGGGCCCAGGGCCCGGGACGCCGGCCACGGCCGGAGACCACGAATCTCTCAGCAGCTCGGCGCTCGCCGGAGAGTCATCGTCTCGGGGTGGCGGCGGCGGCGAGGCTGTGTCGACGTCACTCCGCTTCTTCCCGGCGGAGCTGGCCTGCGACGCGTGATCTTCCATGGCACTCGGCTGCCCCCGAACGTCTCATTTCTCCGCGCCGGTGAGAATCCTGCACAAGGAGGAGAGAAAGAGAGAAAGCGAGAAAGGGAGGCGGGTCAGCTCGACGGCGGTTACACGCGAGGGAATGGATGTGAAGTTTTATCAGCGCCACCGTTGCCGACGAAGCGTACACTCCGCTCCCCCCAGTTCATTCAGCAGCGCTGTAGATTTGTGCTGTGTCAGACCACTCCACCACCATGACAAGGTCAAACCAAAGCTCACCCCGGTGCGCCGAAGAACATTTCTCGCAACGAAGCTTCGCCCGGCCCAAAAAATTCGAAGTACAAACCCGAAAGAGAGAGCCGCCATGCATCTCGGGAGAATCGACCTTTGACCCTGGCCTCGGCCCAAATTGTTCCGGGCCTTCTGGGAATTGACACTGAATGTCTCCAAACAGCCTCGACGTTCTGACCGACAGCCATCGTCGCCCCGACATAAATGTGAAGATTCTATGACGACGATGACGACGACAATGATGAAGACGACGACGACGACGACAACGATGACGATGACTACAATGACAACGAAATTGGCCGACTATTACAATGACGTCGACGATGATGACGACAACGACGACGACGACATGTTACACTCATCGACTCGGGCCGCGCGTCACGGCGCGAGGCGAAACCACGCCGCCGGTGCGGAAACGCCTCGGGAGGGCCCTCAAACTATTTCAAGAGCTGCGTCTGTTGCGCGGAATAAAAGCGGGTCGGCGTCGATGCCGGGATAACTTCTCCTTTCTCCACCTCTCGCGCCATCGATCGCCGCCGCGCAAGTCACCTCCCGACAACGTTACGGGCGGCATTTTGATAGCCAAGCGGATAAACATGCCCGGCCGCATTGTCGACGTCGTAAATCAGGGACTTGCTCATAAGTAAATTCCGAACCTAATCACGCGCCGGTGATCGATACCTGGAACAGGCCCGACGTTAAGGGCCCTCGGGGAAAAAGAAATGAAAAAAAACCCCAACAACGACGCTGAGGAGCGGGCGATGATTAATTATTATTTTCGTTCGTATTATTCCCGCGCGCCCGTATTAGGCCGTGCGATAAAACGCTTTGAATTTCGCTCATCGGAATCGAAATCCGTTTCCGAAAGAAAAAAAAAGGAGACTTCGCGTGGAGCGCCAAACGGTGTCCTTTGGCTTTTTCGCGGCGGAGGTTGGTAGGGGCGGGGGGCGAGAGACGGGGGGGGGGGGTGGATCCGGTGGGTACGAGGCAACGGAAGCCTCAAAGCTGGAAAGAGAAATCGCCAAATTTGCAAAGGATCAGCCAAAAAAAAGAAACCCTGGAGGCCCCCCCACACCCTTTCCCCCCCGCCGAGAGGGGCATCCGCAAAGAGGTGGGGAGCGAGTAGCCGCACCTTACACCGCCAGCGCCAGCGCAACTTGCCCATCAACTGACCGACCGCCGTGGGCCCGTTTGTCCGCTGCTGGATGGGTTCACGGCGGCGGCTCCCGGGGGGGGGGGACGCGACTGGAAGGGAAAACTCGCAACCGTCGCTGCCTCGGCCGCGCGCCGGGAGATGGAATCTAAACCGGCGACCTCTGAATTGCTACCGTCGCCGCGGCTACTACTACTGCTGCTACTGCTGCTACTACTACTGCTGCTGCCACTGCTGCTGCTACCGCCGCTGCCACTGCTACGACTACTGCTGCTGCTACTGCTGCTACTGCTACTACTACTGCTGTTACTACTGCTGCTACTGCTACTACTGTTGCTACTACTGCTACTGCTGCTACTACTGCTACTGCTGGCTAACGTTATAAAGCCGCCGTGGCGGCCGGCAGCATCAAGAATCCTTCTCGTGAGACGATGGCCAATCAATACGGACAATTAGCTCCACGCAGCCAATGACAGATCCTGCGGCCGGGGGGCTGGGTGGGGGTGGTGGCGGGGGGGAGAGGTGGGCGGGGGGGGGCGTCGTGGGGCCAGGCGGCCCATTAAGGCGGCGGAGTGCATACGGGAAGCCGCGCCGATGGCCTTCGGGAACCGCTGTCCCTCGCCAGTGACCCCGGCCTCTCCAGCCGACCACCATCCCCCCTCCCCCCCCCACGGGGGAGACGACCGAGAGTCATCGCCACCCTCCCCTCTCCCGCCACCCTCCCCCCACCCTCCTCTCTGACCGACCGACTGACCCTGGCGGACGGCGCGAGAGCGCGAAGCTCGCGGTCAGTTTGGCGGCTGGTCTGTGAACTCGACGCGAGTACCGTCGTCGTGGTTACACGGGTACTGTCCTCGTGGTTACGCGGGTACCATCGTCATGGTTACGCCAGTACCGTCGTCGTGGTTACGCCAGTACCATCCTCGTGGTTACGCCAGTACCGTCGTCGTGGTTACGCCAGTACCATCCTCGTGGTTATGCCAGTACCGTCGTCGTGGTTACGCCAGTACCGTCGTCGTGGTTACGTGGGTGCCGCCGAAGAGCGGTGGGGAAACAAACTAAAAGAACATATTCTTAGGTTTTTTCGGTAAAGTCACCTAAGAATTTGAATCCTTGCAGTCACGAAAGCTTCAAATCTAAAACTAAAAGAACAACATCGGAAGAGTGCACGGGGCAGCCACGCGCCTGGAATTACACCACGAGACAGAAAGCGGCGCACGTGGATGAGAGGTCGTGCACACGATGGTTGATGACACCGTTCAAACTCTGTAGAGTGGGCCAAGAAATAATAACAATTGACTCCGACGCCAGCTTTCATCGACGTGGGCCGAACAAGGCCCGGCCGACCGTCATCCTGCCCTCGCATTGTCGCCTGCGCCAGCCAAAAATGAAAAAAAAAAACGCAAAAGCGCCCGGCAAAAAATAATCACCGAGAAGCAGCTTGGCTCCGAGGGCATCAAACCGGTAAATAAATTAATAAACAAGGCATCTCGAGGCATCTGGCGGCGGCGGCGGCGCTGGAGGGGAGGGGGGCGGCAGGCATGGAATTGAAACGGGTTCAGCACATTCGCCAAAGTTGCGCGCTGACGGAAACAGCTTTTTTTTTTTTAAACGTAGAGAAACCCAGCGGAGAGCGAGTGGGTGGGATGAGGGGGTGGAGGAAGAGAGAGAGAGTGGGGTGGGGGTGGATCGTATCTCGCGCTCTCCCATCCGTCGCTCGCAAATTGCGAGTCGCGCGGCGTCTTTGATCGCGCCCGCGAAGCCCTCAATCGGCGCGTGGCAGCGCGGGAGTCAAAGACAAAGCAGCGGGGGGACCCCCCCACCAACCTCCGGAGCTCGAGAGGGGAGAGCGTTCGCAATTAATCCCGCGGGGAGAGAGTCAGAGAGAGAGAGCGAGAGAGTGAAGATGACCGAGAGGTCATCAGCCCAGAAATTGTCCCAAGCGTAGCGAGCCTTTGATCACCGCCCTGCCTCCAAATCCGCCACCCGACCCCCACCACCACCACCGCCACCACCACCACTCAACCCCCCACCCCCACCACCACCGCCAACACCGCCACCACCAACACCACCGCCCCCCACCAGCACCGCCGTCGCCACCACCGCCGCTAACCTTGTCCAGTTCATTTGGCTCGCGTGCAAAACCTGGCAGATGCGGTTACAATCGACGACTACGACGCAGAAAGCGGTGACTGCGGTCACCGCCCAGAGCAGAAGCGTGGAGAGCGCAACGTGGAATCGATGGCAGATTCACAAAGACGGAGGAAGGGAGGAGGAGGCATCGTCACAGCGGTGATGCAGCACTCCGCTTACTCCTGACTCCACGATCCTCTGGCTCGTTAATCTGCCCAACACGCACCTCTTCCAGAGAACGACGACGAAGATGATAGAGACACGAAGACTTACGCAGACGAATATCATCACAGAGAGAGCCGTAGACTCACACGGACAAATATCATCACAGAGAGACCCTGAGACTCACACAGAGAAATATCATCACAGAGAGACCCTGAGACTCACACAGACAAATATCATCACAGAGAGACCCTGAGACTCACACAGACAAATATCATCACAGAGAGACCCTGAGACTCACATAGACAAAAATCATCACAGAGAGACCCGTAGACTCGCACAGACAAATATCAGCACAGAGAGAGTCGTGGACTCACACAGACAAACATCATCACAGAGAGAGAGACCCTGAGACTCACACAGACAAATATCATCACCCAGAGAGACCCTGAGACTCACACAAACAAATATCATCACCCAGAGAGACCCTGAGACTCACACAGACAAAATTCATCACAGAGAGACCCGTAGACTCACACGGACAAATATCATCACAGAGAGAGTCGTGGACTCGCACAGACAAACATCATCACAGAGAGAGACCCTGAGACTCACACAAACAAATATCATCACAGAGAGACCCTGAGACTCACACAGACAAATATCATCACAGAGAGACCCTGAGACTCACACAGACAAATATCATCACAGAGAGACCCTGAGACTCACACAGACAAATATCATCACAGAGAGACCCTGAGACTCACACAGACAAAAATCATCACAGAGAGAGTCGTGGCCTCACACAGACAAACATCATCACAGAGAGAGACCCTGAGACTCACACAGACACATATCATCACCCAGAGAGACCCTGAGACTCACACAAACAAATATCATCACAGAGAGAGAGACATGGAGAGTGCGAGAGTGGAGAGCCGACAGAGTGGACATAAACTCGCGGCTATCGGAGTGCGAGTGGAGATGGGGAGGGGGGGGGGATGCCTTGGCAGCCCAACATGGCCGAGGGAGGTGCTCGCTCCTTCTCCTCTGCTGCCCCCACAGTCTGGAACTGGCTCCCAGCACCCCCCCCTCCCCACCAGCCGCCCGTGTTGTCAACTCCCCTTGCCCGCCGCCCAGTTCGAGTCCAGGCTCGAGAGCTTCCTCTACTCCCGTGCCTCCTACCACCACCACCCACTGCCTCTCTCTCTCACAAAGCAAACGTTGTGCCCACCGTGTGTGCATAGAGCCAGTGAGATGCGTTGGCATTCAGACGCGATGAGAGCCCCCCCCCCCCCCCACCAATGTATTGTATGGGTCTCACGCGA